TGAAGTTAATACCCATCTTTAAACTGAAAATGTCCTCTGCAGTTAAAGCTGAACCAATGCAGAAGCATTCTTAATGCTGTCAGTGTGCTGATTCCTTTGAGAGAATTATGTGGCTAGGGAAATGAAACTGCGAAACTGTTTTCACTACCCTTGGTCACAGGAAGACTATAGGGATCTAGTGAAGAAATTGTGTATTACTCAAAAACTCTGAACAGTGGTATTAACGACTTGTGCATTCAATACTACCCCATAAAATTACAAATCTTAATTACCAAGGAACCTAAATGACCCATTCAGACTCTGACAGAGGAATTATCTTTGTGAAATAAAGAACTTTTAAGAGAATAAAAGCAGTCATGAAAGAATGTTCTAGAATGACAGATGGACAAAATTTAAAATAACAAACAAAACAGGAAAAAGGCACCTGATTATAAGGAAGTACTAAAGCCTTTAATGACAACCTCAGAGCAGTGTTTCATATTCTCCTATGGAATGTTGCCATCAATCTTCACGCCTTGCTAATTGTCATGTAAAACTCTGTTCAATGGTAGACTATGAAAGCTTCTAAATTTCTTTGCCAGAACGGTTTCAGAATCATTCTGTCTGCTGACACCCCCTTCAACCACAGGATTATTAATATAATCAATGATTCTAATAATTAAGCACTACAAAATTGTTTCCACAACTTAATGGATTGACAATTGGATATGTCTACTAATTTCAGTATTTCCACACATGATAATGATGACTACTCTCTCTTGAATTCATTTAACATTCACTATACCAAGGCCTCCAGTTTCCCCTTCTACATTCCTGATGAATATTCTGCTTTTCAGGCTCCTCTTCTGCTAATTCCTTAGTATTTATTCATATTCCCTAGCATTTTTCCTTAGTTTCCTTCTTCCCCTTTATATTCCCTCTAGATACTCCCATTCATATACCTATTTTCATCACCTAAGTGACTCCTAGTTCCCTATTTCTAGCCCCATTTAGGTTCTAAAACCCCATTCCTATCTACCTATGACACATCTCCACCAGAAAGCCAAAAAAGCGTTTCAGATATACTGCTCAAGGGAAAGCCATGTTCATCGTCCCCTTCTGACTTGCTGCTTTTCCTTGGAACCAAGATTTCTACAACCAACTGTAAAAATGACACACTTGTGAGTCACTGTGGGCTCCTCTACTACCTTCCTCTTCCCATAAACTAGTAAGAATTGTCCGATCTCTTTCACATGGCAATAGGAGCTTCCATTCATGGTTTCTACTTGCTCTTCCAACTTCATCTCCTCCTTCACCTCCCTAAATCTTTTATTTAAATGTCATTCTATGCATACAACATGCACTTTTTCTTTACAACTGCTAAATTCTCTTACCTAACTAAACTGCAAATTCTACAGTCTCTCAGACCTCAAGCATCTCCTTTCTTGGAACCTGAGAATTTGTTTCACATTGTGTTTATTGATGATAGAGATCAAAGTAACAGTTTGGTACTAGGGGAAAATCCTTGCATTACTGTTCATAAGCTAGTAAAATAAGACTACACATAATTACAGTGTTGTTTGCTAAGTACTAGGATGAAATAACCACAAGGTGCTATGGTAGCAAAGGAGGCATACAATCATTGTGTGTTACCACTAACAGTTTTGCTTGGACTGGGCGTCGTAGATAAGTAGGAATTCATCAGGTGGGCCAGTTGGGTCAGAGGAAGGCATTAGATATCAAGGTACATTCTGGGAACTGCTAGTGCTGAAAATGAGGGGTAAGGTATAAGACTGGAGGAATCACATTATGAAGACCTCAAAAAGGCAAGATAACTAGCAGCCATAAGGAGGGCACATTACAGAGGCCAGGTCAGAGGCAAGGAGACAATTTGGAGGCTACTGCATTATGCCTTGCACGAAGTGATAGCATTTAAAAAGCAGTGGCAGTGAGATGGGACAGCAGGGTACAGAAGAAACACTTATCCTTGCTGCAGATACAAAGTAACACATTTAATCTTCATAACAAGGCTAAGAGGTGATGTTCCTATTTTTACACAAGAGGACTCAAACTCCTAATATGTTACTTGCTCAAGATGACACAGCTTACAAGTAGGAGGAGCAGAGATTCAAACTTCAAAGATCGTGCTCCAAAGTAGCGTAATGTGCCAATATCTCAAATGCATGTCCAAGTATAAATCAACAAATCATGTATTTACAACTAATTCTGCCCTGTTCGACTTACCAGAATTAATTCCTGGATAAACTTCCTCTTCCCATAGAGAAGCATAGCAAGTGTAGAGGAAGGAGACAGACTCCAGCAGGTTTAGGGTTACATACGGTAAGATTTTAATATTGTTCTAGGCTGTCTACAATTTTTGTAGTATATCCAAATTCTAAAGTCATTTTATGGACAAATTTATTTACACATTCTCCCAATTAGTAATTCTGCATGGGCCACAAGGTCTAAAAGTAATCTTAATAACCTGTAAAATGTCCACTCTGCCCTCTTATAGTGCTGGGCATGTAAAAAATGAAGTATTGATCTAAAAATAAAACAAAGTGAAAATGTTTAAAATGACATCACTATTCTTAAGCAATATAGGCTTCACTGGGTGGTAAAAGATTCAGCATTTTAAAACTCCTTTGCCTAACAAACATGCTTTATGTTATAGAACGTACATGTGTTTGGAAAACTTCAAAAAATGCAGAATAAACCTCTATTAATGGTGTTAAGCTAAGTGAATGCAATATTCCTTCAAGGTTTCCCTTCAGTCATCAGTGAATGGATTTCTTATTCAGTTACTTTTCTTTCAAAAAAAATTATCTAAGGTTAGAAAAGACCAATTCCATATATATCCTACACACAAAACCAATCTACCAATTTGAAGTATGAATATTAATACAAGCAACATGGAAGCCCTAAAGTTCTTTTGTTCTCTAACGTTTACAAAGGAGAGGGCTTAAGTTGCCTAACTCAGTTCCAATGCTTTCTTTTTATTTCAGAACTGAAGATTTACTTTAGAATTAAGGGGAACACGGGAAGATCTGAACTATTTTAGGTAAAAAGCCCCCCAGTCCTCCATATCCAGTGTTTTTTTTTTTTTTCAGGTGAATTAATAGCAGCCATAAATAAAATAGTGAGGTCAAATGTGCAATACCCACACCACCCTGTGAACGCTGCAAAAAACAGTGTCCATCTCCAAGTGGCAGACAGGTTTCAACTCACATGGCAACTCCAATGGATGACGTAGCTACTTCCAATACGAGATTGGGGGTAAATTGGCCAAAAGAGATCATAAACGTCTGCCAGGGGCACAAGAGCATGTGCTACTCTTGACCTCATCTGCAAGACTCTGTACTCAAAATACTTTTGTTTCTACTATGGGTTATTTCATTATTGTTTCAAATCAGATAATGCATCCTGCTATGAAATATAACAAAACATGCAAATCAAGGGAAAAGTTTTGTGGAGTGTTTTTTTTTCTGCTATGTCTGACAAAACAAATATTAATATTAATATCAGGGATGGTTTTGGTTAAAATAACAAGGGTTACATTTTTCAGATGCTTATCTTTTAATCTGAAAAATTCAGCGTGTATATATATATATATACATATACACGTGTATGTATATACACACACACACACATATACTGTTTTAGGAGAAAACAGCATTTCAGCTTGGTGATTTAAGTAATATCAACTACATATGTTTATTTGTAAAATTTCCCATAGTGAAACATGTTATAGTTACCTATAAACATTAATTTTTCACTATTTACAATTTGAGTAATCATGGAATGTTTGTATAATGCAACCAGTTGAGTTATAGAAAAGTCACATAAACAATATAAATCTGATGCCCAATCCTTTACACATATGAAATTACTTTCAATGGGTTTTCAAACTGTCAAGTATAAATAGGATGAGGTCAGCAATACTTAAGATGAGGCACTTTGACAATTACCCAAAAAGGTTAAGTGTACAAAAGTGTAAAACAAAACTCTCGGTATTAATCGTACCCCTAATTTCAGACATAATTAATCTGAGATGGTCTATATTAAGGAATGTTACGAACTTTTATTTCTTGCCCTTCCCCCTCCAGTTGACCCAAGGCAAGTTAACTATGAAATACATAAGTATATAGACATCATCACAGACCAGTTAGTGTGCTTACATAGAGAAGAACTAAACACCATGTAAAACTGGGCATTTTAGAAAATGACTATTTTAACACAAAAACAACTTATGCATAATTTTTTCCATAAATGTGTATAAATACATTAGTCTCCCAAAGGCAAAAATGCTATCTCAACCATATTCCTAGACAAAAATGCCCTCAAAGGTATTAACTAAATCAAAATTAATAGTCTATGTACTCTTTTCAAACACTGAATTTTTAATATTCAGAGAAATTAAAATTAAATTTGAATTTTAAAAATAAGAGAAATTAAAAAATTAAATTTACTAATATTTTCTAGATTAGTTTTTTTAAGATTAAAAATAGTAGTAAGGAACAGATGTTTTGTTTTGCTAGCCTTTTGTGAAACACCTTTCAAACATATTATTTGGCCAATTCATTTTTAACCTTAAATCATGTTCTCTGTGTATTAATACTGCATCTTTTGGTAGCTAAGATAATAAATACTTGATTAAAAATATTAAGTCCTGTTGCTACATGAATTCACAGTAGTGTCTTTTCCCCCATGGTCAGTTTCAACAGTAAAGAAAAAGGCCGACTCAAATTTTTAAAGGTCATCCAGAAGGGATTAAAATCTGTGGTCCCATTAACAGTTTTAAGTGAAAACAGTTAAATCTCATTAAACTTATTTCTGGTAGGTTATAATTTGAGTAATTTCTATAGCCCAGATACCCAAATGTTTAATAAACATGAGTTATAACATTTTAACATACTTAACTGTTCCAAGTCCATTTATCAAAATCACTTGCTCTGTGTATGTACATGAGCATAGCACATGCACTCCGTAATTCCCTAAAACAGTCTTGCTCCCCTAAAAAGAAAAACTGGCTTTCAATCAATATGTTACCAGACACATAAGTCTCTTCACTCTTCAAAAATCAGAAGTGGGCCAATTTTCAGATAAATGAAAAGAGGAAATACTTATTTAGAATGACAAAAATTAAGCTTGGCAAAAGTAGTGACTTTTATTTACAATTGCATGTATCAAGATTACAACAAAAACACTAGTGATACCATCCAAACAAAAGCAATGATTTATTGGTAATGGCAATGAATGGAATATTGACAGTCTCTGATGAGAATCAAGCAATTATCCAGGAGCTGTAGATCTGATTGCAATATGGTCTTCCAGTGTCTTTTGTACCTTAGTGGCTTTCTCCTTTTTTGCCAACTACCTAGAAAACAAAAATAACTTTACATGTACATCTTACTGATTTAGAAATATGTGTTATTTTTAAAATAATATTAACTAATTGGTAATCATCTTTAAAACCTGGTATTAATTTTTATCCCTGTGTTTTATTTTGTTTTTTTTGGCATGCAGTGTACTTTCACTGTTGAAGCAAACTGTGACCTTCCCTTTCCTCCCAGCCTCAAGGAATTAAAAATAAAACACATGCAGGCTATTTTTGGTTTCCCACACTGTTTAAAGGAAAAGTAATGCAATTTTTCAAACAAGGTTGACAGTTTAGAGAAGTTAATAAAAGGATGATGCTATATGAGTGAAATACATTTGGCAAACTATTTTTAGGCAAGTAGAAATCAAATGTCGATCACAAAATACTCTAGAATTAAAAGAGTATGCTAAACTTATGTCTAAATGCCCAAGATGACAGGTTTCTAGATTTTTCTCTCAATATGTAGATATGCAATGAAAAGAGATTAAAAATGACTAATTTTGCCTAGTTTCTATTTTTAAAAAACCCTGGTTGCTACAAAGGTACTATAAAAAACAAAGAATAAATCTTGTTTCTGTCGATGATTAGAAAAATTCTCCATCGGAAGGCTTTAAAAAAATGTCCTAGTTGCTATAAATGTGGCAGCATAAAAATGTTAAGAATAAACTTGGTTTCTACTAACAGTGCTAGAAAACAAATCCTCTGCGGAAAGGTTCTACAATTATGTTTCAAGTAAATAATTTACTTAAAACCTGAAGTTTATCATTAGATAATATATTCTCACAGCAGAAATGCCTCTAAAGAAATCTACTTGCAAGCTATCGAAGATATATTTGTATACAAAACAATTTCTATGGGGTGGAAGGCTCAGTCAGTTGAGCATCTGCCTTCGGCTCAGGTCATGATCCCAGGGTCCTGGGATCGAGCCCCGCATCGGGCTCCCTGCTCAGTGGGGAGCCTGCTTCTTGGTCCCTCTCCCTCCGCCTGCTGCTGTGTGCACACGTGTGCTCTTTCTCTGTCAAATAAATAAAATCTTAAAAAAAGATTTCTATGTACATTTAATTGTAATGTAATTTTCATATTTTAACTGATTCTGTTCCAAATGGTAGTCTTAACCAAAACTCATAAAGGTCTTCAGCACATGTCTGGTCTAAAATAGAACATGGCCAGGTCAATGCCATTCATGAGAGAAGATTTAATATGCCTTCCACTTAATTCCCAATCATATGTCAGACATGCCATTTTCCTGACCTTGAGGAAAACCAGTTTTATTACTTTAAAAGATCTCCTCTCTGATCTACGAAAACCGTATGTTAGAAAGCCCCAAAAGCCAGAAAGATACTAAAGAGATAGTCTCATAAAAGTATGTGGATAAGAGTAAAAAATTCAGGGTTTAAGAGCCAGGTGGGGGGTGCTTCTTAAGAAAGAAGGGAAGGTGCCAATATTTGTATCACAAATAAATTTAAGCAGATAAACACCGACAGCATTATTGATCATTATTATCACTTGGGAACACACAAAACACAGCTATTAGATTAAGCAAAAGAAAAACAGTATTAAAAATTAAAATTTTAGCAGATGTGATACAGAAGACACAAATCTGCATACTGTTTCACAGGTTGATAACTCTCAACTTGCCAATATGTATTCTCTGTAAAAAAGAAGAAATTCAGCATTCCAATATGGATTTTCTCATCCCAAACATAAAGTATTTTATTCATTTTTAAGTGTTTCTATTACACCTCAAACAATAGTCTAGGTACATCAAAATTAGGTGTCAAAAATATTTATTCAGTAAAGAGTCCATCGATCTTCTATGTTAAGAGTTTAAACCAGCCTAACATTCAGTCCGTCTTTCAACGCCTTGAGCTCACTTGGGTAGACAAAGCAGAGGATGTGCCCATAATTAATCAACAAAAAGACTTTGGGGCTGCAGTTCCATTGAGAAAAGAAAATCCGTGTCTCTTAACTACAGACTGTTGATGAAACTGTTCATATTTGATTTCTAAAATGATTCTATAGTTCCCCAAAAATCTTGGATGTATTAAAACATCCAAGAACTAGTTAAGTCTAAAAGCATTTACAACAACATTTTATTGCAATATGATTTCTCAAAATGTAGTACAAAAATGAAAGATGAGAAAGTAAAAAAAATAAAAGTCAGGGGAGCGACACGGTATGATAATGAAATTAAAGCACCTAGTTGCAAGCCCAAAATAAAAAGCAAACCAAAACAAAAGGCCAACTGAGACACATGGCTAGAATAAGATCTGAAGAAAGAGGTGGTTGAGGAAATCTAGGTTACAAGGCTGATCCAGATGATAGAAGCTGTGGAGACATCCTGCACCAACAATGGCGAGAACACGGGAAGGGTGAGAGCAGACAGGTGCTAGATGAGCAGAGAAGCAAGGAGGGGAGTACAGTGAGATAAGGTCAATCTTTTTATTACTTCATTTTAAAAACTCTTCTGTTTTTAGTTCATTTGAGTTGCATTAAAAAAGCTGAAAAATAAAGACAGAAATGTTACAAAAATAGCTGATACGGTGAATGGCCAGTTTAGAAAAGTCTATTTTTATTACAGTGATAGAAAATCTGCTCTGCTTTTCACATGCACCTCATTCCCTAAGAAGCAGAAGCCCCTTCAATTTTGCTCATTTTCGTACACTTGTATGTTATTACTTTTGTATTAAAATAAAGCAATCCACGTATAGACCATATTTTAGCAAAGAAAATTTCTAACTTCTAATTAAGATGGCAAGCTTTTCATGCTGCAACACAAAGAATTCATTTACAACAACAAATAGCCTAAGTGTATATTATAATCTGTGCACAATGCCTATAATAGCCAAAAATAGACAAATGGGAGGTGTGTTCTAGTCTACCAAATCTTAAAAGTATAACCTTTAAAGTTGTAATAGCATGCAAGGAGGTCTAAGATTTCTATCCACATCCAAGATTCATTAGCATTACCTTAGCTTCTGTCATCTTAGTGACATAAGGAGAAGATCAGTGACACTCGGAAAACTAAAATTATCTAGAAACAACTCACACAATATAAAAATGTGAACTGAAAATGCAAAACAATTCTACTTTATCATTCTTTAAACCAATTTTTATAGCTTTCTTCATTACACAAAGAGGTATCAAGGCGTTCCTCTTTGTGCTGATATAATACATGCCAAATCTACTTTGAAATTTTAAATTCTAATGACTATGTGTAATTCCTTTGAAATTCAGACCGACTAAACAAGGTCCTGCACGTTCCTATTTCCCACTCTACCTGGAGTACCCTGCTATCTTTTCCTCCACTGCTATCCTTTTCTACTCCCAAAGTTTAGTTCAAGACCCTCCCTCCTCCACAAAACATTCTTGTCCTCTCCCAGCCGTTCTTGGGAAGGAGGTATCACTGAGCTAGGAAAGTATGAGAACACTCTCTAGAGGAAGAGACTTGAACTAAGCTTTGATTAATTTTGATCGACTTTCCAAATGTTTATATGTTATCCTTTAAGATAAACTTGCCATACGGAGGGATTATGATTACACCTAGCATAGTACTACAGGGACAACAAGTAGCCTTCCATGTATTTATTATTTCTTTTTCTAGAAACCAAACTCATTTATAATTTTCAATAAGCGACTATCTATACAAAATCTAAACTGGCCAATTTCAGTTAAATAATAATTTAATAATTTTCCTACACCGACGTTAACTTAGCAGAATGCAAAAAGCACTGAAATATTAGCTTGCTTTTGAGGAACAATTCAATGAATGACACAAGTCTCATTCAGAAACCATTAAAAGGAAATGCAATGTAATATTAACATACATAAGAAAATCATTCAGCCAATTAAAATTTATCAAACATTAAAAGCAAGGGACTAACACCAAGAAAGGAGTCCATGATGGTATTTAATTATTCTCAAAGCAGTTCTCAGTGTGGTCTAGGCTGGGGGTCCCTGAGACCCTTTCAGGGAGCATTCAAAACTATTTTCATAACAATGCTAAATCATTATTCGCCTTCGTAATCTCACTGTCTCACAGGTGTACAATGGAGTTTTCCAGAGGCTACATGACCTGTGATAGCAAACCTGACTAAATGTAGAAGCAGGCATGAGAATGAGAAGGTTCTATTAAGCTAGACAGTAAAACAATTTGTAAGGCGTAAAAAAATGATCTTGTTAAATTGGTTCTTATTTTGGAAATATGTATTTTAATTTAAAAATATTGTGTTAACATATAATGAATTTATTATTTATAAATAATTTTTAAATTTTTTGGTTTCAATTTCTTAAAGGGTAAATATTAGATTAAATATAGCCTACATTAACAAAAGCTCTTTTTGGTCCTCAATAATATTTAATAGTGTAAAAGGGTCCCGAGACCAAAAACTTTGAGAACTATTGCTCTACAATAATGTTAAGATAAAAAAAAGTATTTAGTTAAATGAATACATAGCCAATTACAAAACATACACAAATACTCCCAAGCAAGAAAAGTCTAACATCTTTGCTATGCTAAAGACAGGCCAGAAAAACTAGTTTGGTAAGTCAAGAGAGAGAGGAGCTAGGCCAGAAGGCACAGGAGAGGAGGATATTAAAACCAAAGAGGAGGAGACAAATTCTTAGACAGACGATTATTAACACACATTAGAAAAACTGACTGAATGGCAGGCTGGTAAGAAGATGGTCAAGATGGAGCAGTGGTTACTTTAAGAGAAAAATAGAAATCAAACAGCATGAGCAGAGGTGAGAAGCAAAGAACTTGAGCTGAATTAATGGTATATGGCTTATAGATCTTATGAAGGAATTAAGCTAAAAACAAACTATGCAAGGCAGTTAAAGCCAAATCCAATGACAATTAATTCAAACAAGCAATATAACAAAGCAGGTGGCCAAAATCTTTGGTGCTCATACATTTTCCCAGTACAGCATATCTCATATCATAAAAATGTAGATGGTTTAATCTTTGCTACTTCTGACCTTCTGATCTGTCATTATACATACGGCAAACATTTGACATGACAGATTTAAGTACAGAATTGTCCTACAGTTCCCAAAAGTTAATCATGAGACAGGAAGATATAGTAGTTGAAAAATGACCAGTTAAAATATCTATGGTCAAGATTATCAATTTTGTAAAAACCAACATACAATTTTATAAGCTTATCCACTGTTATGCAATTTTACAAATTTTTCCGTAACTGTATTAAAATGAGATCTGTAGATACCACCAAAAAGAATAAGTTTTCAGGATGCTCCATGGTTTCACCTCCCCACCAAACAGGGGTCTCAATTGTTCAGCCGGGTGCCTCTTCCTCCAGGGCACTGGCAGCCCTGGCAAAACTTTCTCCTATATAATCACCTCTTTCTAATCACCTCCAGTTCTAGACTATCAAAGGCAGCCATAGAAACATGGCCACACCTACCTTTCCCGTGCTGCTGCACATTTATCTGTGTACAGCAACTGGGTTCTGTACTGAGAAAGCTCCTGGTAGCACTTCCATGAGCTGTGGTTGTAATACTTTAAGAGTCTCCCTAAGGAACTGGGACCAAGCAGCAGTTGTTCCATGAATGGACAAAATGTTCTCATTCCTAAGGGTCTCATGTATCTTATAAATCCTCTGCAAACCTTACGACTGTGTCCACAAAACAAAACAAAAACGTACATATACATACATATGTAATCTCCCTGTTCACTGGTAATTTCTTTGCTTGTGCAAGTGGTCTTTCAGCACACAGACATGGTTTAAAGGCATCTGAGTGTAGTAAAACTGAGCCCACTCTTTTTGATTAAAATTATTCAAGTGATTTTAAATGTTTTCATTGGAAACAATAATCAAAATCTTAATATCAGCACAATTCTTAAAAATTCACTAATAGTGATTTTAACTTACTCCTATTTTGACATTATTCCTAACTACTTTCTATAACCAAACAATTATTTAGTTAAATTACTTCCCTTTTGTAAGGACTTTTTTAATTGAAGTATGGCTGACATACAATGTTGTATTAGTTTTAGGTGTACAACACAGTGATTCAACAATTCTGTACATTTTATGCTATGCTCACTTATTTGAATACCATTTGGATATCATTATTAATGGATACCATTATCCACTGGATACCATTTATTTATAGATACCATTATTTGGATACCATTGATTAATAGACACTATATCAGGATTTATTTTTATTAGAAATTATCTTTTAGTTGGATATCTAAAAGTGTGATTAGGAGAACCCACTGTCCTAGTTTAACCTAAAATTTCATGACATGGTATGATTTTGATCTTTATGAAATTACTTTTTTAATATTATATTTTTACTTCCCCTAAATATCATTTAAAACAAACTTACTCGTTTGAAGTCATTCATATTTGTTGCCTGGACTGGAGTACCAATAAAAGTAAAATACGAAATTCTTGTTGTTTCTTCTTCACCTTGATTGGACTGAACAAATATCTACACTCCCCCCAACCAAAAAGAAAAAAAAGAATTTTTACATTAATAATTGCATCCTTTTTTCATAAACATGCTTAAGTTTAACTGATTTTGTTAGATTATTAATAAAAATACCTTCTAGTCTTTGTAAGGATTAATCCAAACTACACTTAGACTAGTGCTCCCACAGACTATTAACCCCACCGCTCGCCCTGCTATCCTCACCCTTTCCAGGATGTCAGGGCGAGACACCCGCATACGAAAGTTCCAGATAATTCAGTGTAAGGGTGTGGGAGGGGTCACAACTAAATTCTTTACAGAGAATGTTGAAAGAGTATGAAATTATTACAGTGGGCAAACCACTGCTGAAATTTTATTAAAATTGGTTTTTGACTGAGGAAAGCCTCTGCAGTTATTTCTTTCTGATACTCATTCATTCCATTTCCTAAAACATTAAAAGAAAAAACAATATTGGGAATCAGCTCCTAAAACTATACTATACTACAGCCTGCATTTTTTTAAGCTCGACTCTTTATACTTTCTATGTAAAAACTCCCCTCAGCATGTTAGTAGACAGCAACTTTACTCACAGATTCTTTTCCAATATATTGGACTTTTATATGCTTTTTTTTAAAAAACAAAACACAATACTCTAGATGCTGTCTACTTAGGAATATTGCCTCTCTTGATTTAGACAACATACTTCTTTCGTTCTCTGATGGCATTAATCGGTTTTTGTTGTTTTTATAGGCAAGCACAGATTCATCCCAAACTGAGCTTATCAATTAAATCTTCCAAGTCTGGGGATGCCTGGGTGCCTCTGTCGGTTAAGCATCTGCCTTCGGCTCAGGTCATAATCCCAGGTCCTAAGTCCCACATTGGGCTCCTTGCTCAGCAGGGAGCCTGCTTCTCCCTCGGCCTGCTGCTCCCCGTTTGTGCTCTCTCTCCCCCTCCCTCTCTCTGACAAATAAATAACATCCTTAGAAAAAAAAAAAACTTCCAAGTCTGTAACAGGTAGACTATTAAACCAGCTCTCCATTCATTTGTAATACTCTTTGATAATTAGCACAACAGTTTATATTTATGGCTTTTAAAATGCATCTACTTACTTTGACTAGACTTTCTGATCAAAACTGTCATTATGATTTCAATTTTATCACCAAAAAACTGATAGGCATGCTTTCTGTGACTTAAGTCACTGACTAAAAGTTTGATTGCAATCAGACACAGAACATACACAGACTTGAGCCTATCACAAGATAACTGGGTATAGTGAATCTCAATGACACAGGAGATTACATCAAGATGTTTGGGTTGAAAGGGCTTTTTCCAATAAATACCTTGCTTCCATCACTAAATAAAGCAACTGGCATTAATTGAGGATATGGTACAAATATAAGTCAGGAAAATATCTGATAACTAGTATTCTAGTTTAATATAACCATTTTTGTCCATTTTATCTGGGTAGAATATTTCAAATACTGAAATCTCAATTATAATCCTTCATCTTATTACTAAGTATATCCTGTGAAACTCCAGTAAAAACCTCCTAAAATGAGTACATTGTAACATTCTCTAATCTATAAGAACCAGAATCATTTCATTAAAACAAGGAAATCACGGGGCGCCTGGGTGGCTCAGTCCCACACCCAATGTGGGACTTAGGACCTGGGATTATGCCTTTGGCTCAGGTCAGGGATCCAGCCCTGAATGGGGCTCACCGCTCAGTGGGGAGCCTGCTTATCCCTCTCCCTCTGCCACTCCCCCTGCTTGTCTCTGCCCATGCTCACTTGCTTTCTCTCTCAAATAAATAAAATCTTTAATAAATAAATAACAAGAAAATCATTAGTTTAGCATGACTTGTCCTCAGGGACTCTGTGCTCGTTCCCACTTTCCCCTAGGTATTCCACTATTCTAGTCTAACCCTCCGACTCCCTCCTCTGAAGGACTGGGTTGGGAGGGGTGGATGGGAGGAGGGGGTGGTTTGGAAAGCATATGGCTGGGTTTCATTATTAAAATTCACAAAAGCAATTAATAACTGCTAAGAAGCAGCCAACTTCTTAATGTAAATTAAGATAATATAAAGGTATCTTTTAAAAAGTCATTTTTACTGAGATCATGACCACAACACTATTAAAAACCATACATTCTAGAAAAGTAAATTCGATTTTACAATTGTAACACCACTCACCACCAGGTATGAAGGATAATGTACAAATATCTTCAGTTTAACTATAAGTATTCTAGAATAAACTTTTAACAGAAGCTGCCAAGTATGTATAAAGTAAACTGACAAATTCAAATTTTAAAAAAATCAACCTGTCCTTTCTCTTTAGTGCACATAAATTAAAAAGAAGAAAATTTAATTAGTTCATTATACATTTTTACTCATTCTAAATGAAGTGGACAAAACCTACTTTGAAGGATGATTCAGAATCACCTAGGGTACTGAAGCATGCATGCACTGTCACCCACAAACTCATTAAATATAGTTGAAATACTACTTACAGTTACACTGTTAACATTCTGAAACTTAACATAACGAAGTGGAACAATTCCATCTTCTTTAATATCATCCTCTGTTAGTTCCAGAGCTTGAGTTGGTTCACTTCTTTCTGCTTCTTCAAAATCCATAGATCGGGGCAGGTTGATAAAAATTTTTACATATTTAGGACCCTGACCTATAAAATGGTAGAATGAAATTAAATGTTAAACCAAACTTGCAATACTTTCCTCCCTTCACCATTACAGTCACGCTATACAACCAGTCACACATCCAAACACTTATTCATGTCTACAGCAACTGCTTTTACAAATACTTTGTATTTTCAGAAGATACAATTTTATTAATGAGCAATATTAATACATAATATTGCATATACCTACCTAAATCTTTAGGAACTTTAAGGAATTCTGAGTATTTTCATGCATATACCCACCTAAATCTTTAGGAACTTTAAGAAATTCTGAGTATTTTCATAGCCATTCTTTTTTTTTATACACATTTTTTAATGCCTGCTAGCAGTATACTAAGTCCTAGGAATACTAGATTGAAACACATATGTACGTATGCAAACACATATACATACACAGGCTTTTTGCCCTCAACTGTAAGTCACACTATGGTAAATGTAATACTACTAGTGAGGAGATACAGGGAGGACGGCAATCCAGTCTGACAGTGGATGCACGTTAACATCTGAGTTGGGTCTTGCACCTGCCAACAACTGGTTCACTTGTTATTTAGGAGAAAAGCATTACAGTGACAACATTTAGCTAACAGGAAATTAATTATACAAATTGCTGGGGTGCCTGGGTGGCTCAGTCAGTCAGTTAAGCCTTCGGCTCAGGGTCCTGGCTCACTCACTATCTCTTAAATAAATAAATAAATAAATAAAATTTTTTAAAAAAATTATACAGTTGCCAAATTTCATCTTAGGGATTAAAATGTGCTAAGTGGTTAGATCACATTTAGAGAATGCCTTAGTCCCTTTAACTTCAGGGTACAATCCAAAACCCATTTTAGTGGCTAATTAAGGAATCTTAAGATATTCATATTGCTTACTCATCTCTACAGCAACTGCTTTTACAAATACTTGGTATTTTCAGAAGATACAATTTTATTAATGAACATTAATACATAAAAATTTAAAACAACAAAGGAAGGCTATCTGATAAATAGGGTGCTTGCTGTTTCTCCCAATTATAAAGAAAGTAAGAAAAATCCTAGTCCCCACTACCTGCCAACACACAACAAAAAAAAAAAAAAAAAAAATTCAATAGGGACAGGAAAAAAAGGAGGGAGATGAATAAGGAAAATTCTTTATTTAATAGAAGGAGAAATACCAAGTCTGTACAATCCTGTTTACAGCATCATAATATATATATAAATAAGATGAAACTACTAATAGTGCACAAATAGGAAGATTTAGAACCTGATTTTCGTCTATAATAGGAAGAGTATAAAATAAATCTCTTCCAGTTTTGATCCTGCAAAATGGCTACTTCAAACCTTGACTTTTAGAGTAACAGTTGGAAGAAAGAGTTTGTTTTTAGATTAAGAGATTAAACTTTTAGAAATAAGATAAAATTTTCCTTTTCTTTTCCTTTTAGTTCCTAATAATATGACATTATTTGCACATTCATTTATCTCTTTGCTTTGTTCCAGAAACAATTTCACTCCTTCCAAAACAAGAAATACCTACCTCTATTATTTAATAAGAAGTTTTACATATGTGCTAACAGATCCACAGAACAGAAAGTTAAAGAAAAGCTGTCCATTACTCACCATTATCTGGCCCTTGAAATTTCATTGAATAAAGCTTAACAGGTTGATTAAATGCCACAGTAATAAGCAGCTGTGAAGAAAATAAAGTTTCATTTTAAAAGGGCTCTTGAACACCTTGAATACACACAATAGCTATGTAGACTTAAAATTATTAATTCAAAGGCAGAAAATATTTAATTCAATTCATAAAACCAATGTAATATAAAAAAATCAGTAAGTTGAAAGTAACTTGATTAGACTGACATCTGAGAAATACAATAATCTTATTCACATAAGGGAATGACAACAAAATTTAATGGAATAAATTAAATTAAAAATAGGCATAAGGGGGGGCACCTGGCTGGCTTATTCAGTACAGCATGCGACACTTTTCTATATAGAGGCTGTGAGTTGGAACCCATCATTGGGCACAGAGCCTACTAAAAAATGGTGGGGGAGGAGATGCATATGAACCTAATGTCTTGTGACCTGTAAACTGACAAGCAATTTGTCTTCCAAAACATCAAACACAATCCAAATTAAAATTCAAACTATATATTTTAGTATATAAGCTTAACATTTTATAGAATGGTTTGTCAAGCATCTACCCACATCATTTGACAATTTGCAAACAATGCAGATTATGTGAAGAAACTAGCCCTCAATTGCACTCTATTTGGTCCAAAACTCAAGAGAATAAGACTTTTAATAGCTCTATAGTAACCTCCAAACCTCCATCCTAAACTTATTGGACTTAACTGAATTTAGAAGGCCACATAAGGGAACTGGAATATGAAATACTGTCAGATGCTTCTCTCTCAGAAACCGTAAGTCATTTGCTCAATATTCTTTCCAGCTGAAATTGTGCCTGATGTACTTATCTATGCTTCTACCCTGGAAGGAAGATTTTCCTGGCAGGAAGATTTCAGGGAGGCTGTGGTCAGTTCTGCTGATATTCATCATCACATTATATTCAGGGCACCATTTACAATGAACACAACTATGAACAATATTCTTAAAGCTGTTCAGTAAAGTAGCTATGGTTGGAGCAAAGATGAAATTTGGATTCATGATTTCAGGATCACTGTGGTCTGTTTGCCTAAGAAAATACCCAGACTATTTCCTTTGGTTATATAATTACTTTTTATACTTGACCTGTAATAATGTGTCAAAAAATAATAAGCATGACATGTTTATAGAAACTTGAACCACAGGTAAAGAGAATGGAAAGCTAGAAACAGATCAAGTCAGCAAGAATATGATACCCTCTTCCTGAAGTCTGTGAAGAATCATTTAACTCCTTTAAGAAAAAGAAGCATGATCAGATTGATGTTTTCTTTTTAAGATTTTATTTATTTGAGAGAGAGAGAGAGCAAGCGCACACAAGTGGGGGAAAGGGTAGAGGGTGCCTGATGTGGGGCTGGATCCCAGGGGGCCTGGGATCATGACCTGGGCTGAAGGCAGATGCTTAACTGAGTGAGACACCCAGAGGCCCCCAGACCTATGTTTTAGAAGAATAACTTTTGTGAACATGTGGAAGATGAACTAGAATGGGGACAAAGCAGAGACAGTAGATTAGAAAGTATATTAAGGAAAGTAAGAGTCAAGATAAAGATAATGATGGCTTGATCAAGGTAGTACTACATTACCTCCTCTGTGACAACAACACAGAGAAGTATAGGGAAGTACAATACAGGTTTACATCTGGGAGTGAGGAACACGCACGTAAGAGTGCTCATCTAGTTAGTCTCTATTTCTCAGGTAAAAACTCAGTGAGTAAAAAATATGGAAGACAGGTCAAGAATGAATATAAGGACTTAAGAGTGGTGAAGGCTCAACTCAGTAGTGGAGCCAATCCAAAATTCTGAGATTCTGTGTAATGCACCTGGCAGTTTGCACTGAACAGAGAAAGGAGGTAGGTCTGTACCATCAAAGAAACTGAAACTTACAAAAAGGAAAGGAAGTGGTCACCTGGGAAGGAGAAACATAAAACGAGATGGAAACATGATAAAGAACCCAGAGCGCACATAAATACTGATGATCCCTAGAAGCTTTAACTTAAGTAACAATTACCTGTTCATCACAATCAGATTCCAAGAAGGTCGTATCTTTTCTCAAACAGTTGTCAAATCCATGCTCATCACTTTCATTAAGACATTCACAACCAGCTTTGTTAATAAAAGGCATTAAATCCATCTGAAAAAAATTACATCAAGACTTTAGGCAAAGCATTTGGACTTGGCGTAACAATTTAACAAATGTAAGTATGTGATTCTCTCTAGGCAATTTTAAAGAAAACTCTTAAAACAGTTACTAAAACTTCTACAATAATCCTTTCATTTGAATTTCTGAGATCTACCACAATTAAAGCAAAGTCTAGGCTTAGCCCACTTGATAAAGTATCAAAAACCAAGTCTTTAACACAAAGATTATAAATGTTGACTTGTACTTTTTTATTACCAGTGTTTTGCAGGGCAAAATATGCAAATTAAAATATCCGTAAGATCCAAAGAAAGCCTACCTCCCTCTTCTAGCAGTCATGTACTCTTCAAACCTATTTCCATAAAGAGTTTACATTTAAGATGAATAACAAATAAGGATTAAAACATTTGTTATTATGGAAAATTTCAAGCACACATAAATAATACAATGAACCTCACATCCCTCACTTCCCAGTTACAATAATCAACTCATGGCCACTCTCGTTTCATCTTTACCCTGTAAGCAGTTCCTACCCCTCCCATTTTCAAATAAATCTTAGGCATTTCTTCATTTCATTCATGAACATTTCAGTGTGTTCATGAACATTTCTAAGAAATAAGGAATCTTAAAAAAAAAAAAAAATCTCTGGGATGCCTGGGTGGCTCAGTTGGTTAAACATCTGTTTTCAGCTCAGGTCATGATCCCAGGGTCCTGGGACTGAGCCCCACATAAGGCTCCTTGCTCAGTGGGGAGCCTGCTTTTCCCTCTGTCTCTGCCTGCCGCTCCCTCTGCTTGTGCTCTCTCTCTCCCCCTCTCTGACAAATAAATAAAATCTTAAAAAAAAAAAAATCCTCAATATTATTATCACAACTAAAACAATGAGTAATACTTTATTATTAGCAAATATCCATGTTCAAATTTCTTCAGCTGTCTCATAAATGTTTTACTGTGGAACTGTTAGAATAAGAATCCAAACAATGTACACTATAAGTGGTTAATGTCTCTCAAATCTCCTTTAATCTATGGTCACCCACAGACTTCTAATATTCTAGATTTTGCTGACTGCTTCCCTGTGGTTGTCATTTAACATTTTCCTGTCTCCCATGTATGTGTTAATAGTCCAACACAATGCCAGAGTTGTGACAATGGTCATCCCTATGTTGTTTCTGACTTTAGTGATGAGAGTACCTCTGGTGTTCCCCCATTAAGATTTTATTGACTGCTTTAGGAAAAAATGGGTATTGAATTCTGTTAAATGCCTTTTCTGCATATTAGGGGATCATAACCTTTCTCCTCTAGATCGCTGGATTTTGTTTACTAATATTTTATGAGCTTTACAACAAGTGTTCCTAATTGGAACTGGTCGGTAGCTTTTTTTTTTTGGTGCAAACTTTGCCAGATTCTGGGTTCAATGTCATATTTACTTCAAAAAAAATTGTATATGGTGGGCGCCTGGGTGGCTCAGTCATTAAGTGCCTGCCTTCAGCTCAGGGATCGAGCCCCGCATCGGGCTCCCTGCTCAGCGGGAATCCTGCTTCTCTCTCTCCTACTCCTGCTGCTTGTGTTCCCTCTCTCGCTGTGTCTCTGTCAAATAAATAAATAAAATCTTAAAAAAAAAAATTGTATATGGTGTTAAGCATTTGGAGTAACACCAGACTACCTGATCTTTAAAGATTTGGTAGAATTTCCCTATGAAGTCATCTTAACCCTTATGGTAGAGGTCTCTATTTTCTCTATTTCCTCTATGGTGACTGGTCTATTCTGGAGTTCTGCTTATAATGGAGTTGATTCTGATAAACTCTTTCTCTAGAAAAGTATCCATTTCATCCAGAACAAGGACTATTTTTAAGTTTACCAAGTACTATAGATTATCAGCTGTATATTCACCCATCACAAAGGGTATTATATATATTTACACAGAGTATACTAATACATGTGTATATCATTCTGAAAGAGTGTATATCATTCTAAAGAAAACTTTAATGTCAAATAATTACATGTCAAATCATTATCATCAATATGATGATAATCCATTAGAAGAATAGCCCCTTAATTATTCATGGAGTGGCCTAAATGCTTTCAAAGCCAAAATGTTATTTTGAATTATATTAAATGTTACATTGCACTAGATATTACTCAGAGTAACACACTGTAGCCCATTTAAAAACAGCAGGGGGGGTGTTGAGGGGTAAAGAGGTGTAGTGGCACTACAAAGCTAAGTTCTACTATTACAGAATTACTCTAAACTTCAAGAACATTTGCCTTGAAAGGGTAGTTTTGACAAAATCTTTTAAACACTGACGTCTTCCATCCTACCAAGATGCCTCTTCAATATTATATCAAGGATTAAGACCCAGGCATGAAGACAACATTGCAGTCATACTTGTAATATCTTAATGATGAAAAATAAACTAAATAGATGACTTAATATTAAAGTTGTTTTAATATTTATTGTGGGGCACACAAAACAAGTATCACAAACAGTTTCATAAAGTGCTTTGTTATACAACACTGAAGACAAATTGGCATTATATAAATTGGCATTAATACCTAACTACAAACCGACATATTCTAGAAATATGCAATTGGAAATAAATATCACTACCTATGTAATCAACTTGCCAATAATGACAAAAGAATAATGAGAAAACAATCAGACAAATCCAGATTGTGGGACAGTCTATAAGAGAGATGGTCTCAACCTGCGCTGTACAATAAGACAGCCATTAGCCACATGTGGCAATTTAAAATTAAATTAATTAAAAGTAGATAAAATTTAAAATTCAGTTCCTCAGTTGCACTAGTCATGTAACAAATGCCTAATAGCCACATGTACCTAGTGGCTACTATATTAGACTGGTGCCAGTTTAAGCTTCCAAAAAAAGGCAGTAATGAATTAAAAAAACAACAACAACAAAAACCCCAGAAGTTTCCAGAACACCAAAGAGAAAACGACTTAAATGTAATGCATGATGCTTGACTTGATCCTAGATGGGGGAAAATTAGCTATAAAGAGTATTCTGGAGGGGTGCCTGGGTGGCTCAGTCAGTTAAGCTCAGGGATTGAGTCCCACATCAGGCTCCCTGCTCAGCCAGGAGTCTGCTTCTCCCTCTCCCTCTACCCCTCCCTCAGCTCTTGTGCTCTCTCTCTCTCTCAAATAAACAAAATCTTAAAAAAAAAAAGAGTATTCTGACGATTATTAAGAAAATGTGAATGCAGTCTTTAAGTATTAGAGATACTGTACCATCGTTAAATTTCTTAGGCATGATAATGATATCGTGGTTATGTAAATGAATGTTCTTGCTCCTAGAAACTACAGGCTAATAAAATATTTAGAGATGAACCATCATGATGTCTACAGTTTACTTTTAAATGATTCTGTAGAAGGTAAAAGTGGATAAATATATATCAAGAAAGCAAAAATAGCAAAACATTCACAACTGATGAACACAGGTGAATGGTATATGTGTTTGCTATACTACTACTCTGTCAACTGTGTTTTGTTTAATAAATTTCACGTTTCTTTTTTAGAGGGGGAAAATCTAAAACAAGACACACAGCAAGTTAGAAAAACTTTTCCATGCTTCTAGTTTGTGTTAACGGAAGATCTTACTACACAAATTAGGGTCACTTAAGGTTTCATTTCATTTTGATGAATGATGACAAAATTTTTAGACCAAAATCTACAGTTCAGAGGTCAGAATACTAAAATATACATATAGGCCTCAAGATTTAGAACGTATGCAAATCCAACTTCAATTCCAGAGTGCCCAGAACTCAAACTTCTGGGGGAGAGGAAGACTTGATATTGATGGCCCTCTCATTGCCACTTAAAGCCATACTAGGTACTATTAGCAAATACAGGAGAGAAAAAGAGAATGTTTTAAACTTTCCCAATGCTTCAATCAACGCTTTAAAAACTAAAAGTCATTATATTCACAAAAACAGTCTTAGTTCTGAATAAGAACTATTATGATTCTTATTGAGTATCACATCTACATTTATTGCAATATTTCAAACTCTAAAAGAGATATGTGTATCTCTCTTACTCTGGCTTCAATCAAATCAGGAGTTCCAAAACTAGGATGTATAAAATCAGTAACTGTATAGCCTCTTAGTGTTAAAACATAACTGAAAGTCTTTAAAACCAAAATTTTGTTTTAAAATTGTCAATACAATGCAGCCATCAAAAGGAATGAGATCTTACCATTTGCAACGACGTGGATGGAACTGGAGGGTGTTATGCTGAGTGAAATAAGTCAGTCAGAGAAAGACATGTATCATATGACCTCACTGATATGAGGAATTCTTAATCTCAGGAAACAAACAGGGTTGCTGGAGTGGTGGGGGGTGGGAGGGATGGGGTGGCTGGGTGATAGACACTGGGGAGGGTATGTGCTATGGTGAGCGCTGTGAATTGTGCAAGACTGTTGAATCACAGATCTGTACTTCTGAAACAAATAATGCAATATATGTTAAGAAAAAAAAGAAGATAGCAGGAGGGGGAAGAATGAAGGGGAGTAAGTCGGAGGGGGAGACGAACCATGAGAGACGATGGACTCTGAAAAACAAACTGAGGGTTCTAGAGGGGAGGGGGGTGGGGGGATGGGTTAGCCTGGTGTTGGGTATTAAAGAGGGCACATTCTGCGTAGAGCACCGGGTGTTATGCACAAACAATGAACATGGAACACTACATCAAAAACTAATGATGTAATGTATGGTGATTAACATAACAATAAAAAAATTAAAAAAAAAATAAAATTGTCAATACATTTCTTTTTTTTTTTTTTTAAATTTTATTTATTTATTTGAGAGAGAGAGAGAATGAGAGATAGAAAGCACGAGAGGGAAGAGGGTCAGAGGGAGAAGCAGACACCCTGCTGAGCAGGAAGCCCGATGTGGGACTCGATCCCGGGACTCCAGGATCATGACCTGAGCCGAAGGCAGTTGCTTAACCAACTGAGCCACCCAGGCGCCCTGTCAATACATTTCTGCAATGCTAATACTTAAATCTACTTAAGATACAGGCTTTCATTCATTCACTTACTCCCGTTAAGTTTCTATTTGTGTTGTGAGAATGATGACATTCTTAGAAACACATTACCAATTCTTAAATATTTAAGAACCTTGCAGACATATAGTTCAAAACTTTTAATGTCTTGATTGACACCTGATGGAAAAAATGAAAATGTTTTTAATAGCCTTTCACACTGTATTCATAACATTTGCATGAAAACTAAATTATTTTTATTTCCTAAAACTTCATTTTTTCCTGCTTATTTCCTACCTGAGGACAAAACACTGATAATCACACTTAGCTGATGTGTAAAGAAGTATTCCTCTAGCTAAGCAGCAGGACTGTTGCGCTCATAAGAACTTTTCATGCAAAAACCCTTAATAAATAAAGGAAAAAAAATACAAAGATGTAAACACAACAGTTTACAAGTCAAATAATTTCCAAAATTTTCCAAAAGGTGTCACAACCCTGACTTACACAACATGTTCATACTTTCTAACTGGATATTACAATTTCAAATTATCACATAACAGTTCTGTTTTAAATAGATATTAATTGTGCCTCCCTAAATTAATTAATGCTAGTACCACTTGTTAAAGACACTTTTTGAAGACACAACACTCAAACCCCCCACACACAAAAAGAATCTCTTGTATTTATCTGACTAGAGAGTCTCCTTATTCAGCATGAATTTAAGGGACTTTACAGAAAGAACATATAGCCCATGACATCAATCTGCTTTACTGTAGTTGATATATATTCTTTCATATACTAGCTTTAACTTAAGATAACAATTATTTTTTAAAATGTTCATTTTTGATCTGCAATTACCATTAACTTTATAACAAAAAAAAAATTAGGAAAGATATATACAAATATATGTTTTGGTATGCAGGATTAACCAATTTGCATAAATGAGTCAGTTACCATGAAGTGCTACTTCTGAATTTTGGTCCTTCCTGAACAGCTCTTAAATGATAAAGATACTGAATTATAATTATTTGTATTATGTAATTCTCAAACACTTTTAAGTTCCTAAGTCCTCAAGTTATTATTTGAAAAATAACTCACTCTTAAAACTCAGAAAAACCTATCCAATAGCAAAGTCACATATGACCCTAAAACAAAATTAGATTTTTTTTTTTTAGCAGAAAAAGAGGTGCCAGAAAATAGGGAATACATTAAAAAAGAGAGAGAAAACTATAGGAAGTGGCAGGAAAGGGAGTCCAGCATATAAAGATCACACATTAAAATTTACATGTCATTTTACACAACTGTCAAAACCTGAAAATTTTTTCCAATATACATTTCTTCACATTTTGGGGGGAAATAGTATATATGTATAATTTTAAAATTACATATAAAGAAAACATTCATTATATGTAATAAAGTGAAAATTAAATGTATATATAAAAATATATATACATTAAAAATGATTAAATGTTTAAAACTGGCTATTAAGACAATTCAGAAAGCGGGTTTAAAAAAAACAAGTGGCAAAAAGAATTATTTAGGAAAAATTGTTTTTGATGAGGGCTTAAGATTATAATATATACAAGAGAAACAAAAACCCAATAATCAGCTAATGAAATTACTTTTAAAGATCTTATTTGAAAGTATTCTTAACTAGCAAAAGATAACAGTCAATTTCATTTTAACGAAATAATGAGAAAAGATATATCATGATTTCACTCTTAAGTCTACCTACATAGCCTTTTGGAATATCTGTGTCCTCATTGCTTCCAGGGTCATTTTCTAAGTGCTGCTTGATTTTTTCTTCTAATCCAACAGCATCTGCTCCTTGATATTGATCAATTCTCACTTTGTTTCGAAAAAACAGAAATGTAGGTGTTGCTGATATATTGTTGGTGGCAGCTGTCCCCTAGAATTGGCAAGTTAGATGCTGTTAATGAATTAAAATTCATCTTAAACCACTCTGAATATTCATTCTACCTCTCTGTAGAACTTAAAATTATCACAAGCATGAACAAAAATCACATAAAATAACCTATTCCCAATTGTTATTTAAGAAAAAGGCCTACTACTGAGGGCACAACTACCTTATCTTTAAATTCCCAATGAAGAACATGCATTTTTATCAATTTTAGTGTTAAACACTTCACCCACCAGTAGAACAATTAGCTTCCAATACAGAAATTATGCTTTATACCACCAGCTAGCGCTTTCATAAGTACATGCTGTTTCTTAAATGGGGAAGCCCAAAGGGTATTAATACGTCAACACAAACCACTGCTACTAGGAAAAAGTACAGATCTGAAAAACAGTAGCTCATCTCTCCATGAAAACGAAGTAACAACCTCACTCAACTCTACTCATAGAAATGACTTCTGGCCTCCCATCAAATACATTGCAACATTTACCTTTTAAAATTCTGCTCCACTCCACAATTATTATGAAACTAAGTACTGAGTGGAAATTAGCTACTTAACCACTGACTCATGACTTAAACTTTTCATAAGTATAAAGGAAACAGTTAAAGCAAACGTGTCATCTTGCATATTCAAATACTATAAAAAGGTACCACTACATTGTTTAAAGAAAAAAAACCATAAAGTTTACATAGCGATGTCTTCTCTGAAACTCAAAAATTAAAAAACAAAAGACAAAAAATATGACTGATGTTTTAGAACAGTACTGTCCAAAAGAAATATAAGACGTAAATGTGGTGTATATATATAATTTTAAGTTGCCAATATCCACAATAAAAAAGTAGAGAGAAACAACTGAAGTCAATTTTAATGCTATGTTTTAGTGAATCCAATATTTGCACTTTTAACACAGTCAGTGTAGAACATAAATGACATATTTTACATTTTTTTCATACTAAGCCTTCAAAATCCTATGTGTATTCTACACTTACAGCACTCCTCAATTTGGATTTGCCATATTTCAAGTGTGCAATAACAACATGCTGCTAGTGGCTACCATACTGGACAACAAAGCTCCAGAACAAAGCTCCCGAGTGGAGACAGGAATACTAAAATAAGGGCCAGTGATGGGAGCCCAGTAGTATGTGACAGAAGTACTAAGCAATATTATAGGGTTTAAACCAAACCCCAAACTACTCACTACAAACTATTATAACATTTAAAAATTCTTTTCACACTCAGAATGTACCGAAGACAAAAAACCTCACCAAAAAGAGGAGGTACACAGCTATTCCTTAATCAGAACTAAAGACTACATTTTTAGTGCTGGAAGGAACCTTCAAAAATTTTTCCCATTAACTCCTCCTCCATATTTCCACATATGCAAACACAGAATTGTCACAGAGTCATTCCTACTAAGTAATCAGGGCAATCTCCCCACAACGCTGTGGCTCAATCGACAGTAATTAACACTTTCAAGTTTCTGCTGAGTATGCAGCTTTGAAGCTAATATTACAGATTGATCAATTCAAATCAAACTACAGCCAAGAATTCTCTGCCATGGCTTTCAAATCAAACAATGCCTCAGCAGTAAAAGATAATATTCTCGATTTGCAAAAGATAAACAAAAAAAAAGTAAAAAAAGGACTTCCAGGTGACTGATTTAGTTGAACAGCTTATTAGTTTTACCTCAGAAAGATATTAATATCAACAAACCCAGAAGCAATTAATACTGAACTACCCTTTTTAACTAATGCAGCCACAATGACATTTGTGGTAATTCATGTCCATATAACATTTTCCCATCTTCAAAGAAGTACTATGTGCATAAAGAGAGAAACAAACGAAGGATGGTAACAACGCTGAATTTCAAACCAATGTAAATTTTTTTTTAAAGCACTCCTTTCCCTTACCTGACACTGATGTACATCAACTTCCAAGAAAACTGCCTGTGGATACTTATTACTCATAGAACTGAATGCTGGGGCAATCCTTAAACACGGTCCACACCTGTAAGAAAGGTAAAATACATGTTTGGTAAAAAAAAAAAAAAAAAGAAAAAAGAAAAACAAAACAAAAAAAAACCCCCACCAAAAACTGTATTAATTTATACTCTAAAAAAAAAAAAAATTTATAAAGAATTTGTTAATTAAAATATGAAATTAAATAAAATCTGATCATCCTAGCTTCAGTCTTTCTAGTCTTTCCCACTAGATTATTTAGATATACTTGCATCAATACCACATTGTCTTAATGACTACAGATTTGTATTAAGTTTTAAAGTCTAATGATGTTAAGTCTTCTGGCTTTGTTCTCACTGAGAAAAATTAAAGATGGAAATAAAAAAATAAAAAAAATAATTTCTAGTTTATGCTTATAAACTAGAAAACTCAACAGTGTCAAGATGTCAATTCTCCTAAATTTGATCTTTAGAGTAAATGTAAAATCCCAGTAGGTTTTCTTGCAGAAGTTAACAAGTTTAAATTCTAAAGTTTACAGGGAAATACGAAAGATAACCCAAGCCATTTTGAGGTTCAAAGCTGAGAAAATTAATTACTGAATATCAAGAACAATCACAAAGCTTTATAAATTAAGAGTGTACAGTATTGGTACAAAGATAAACAAACTGACCAAGGTAAAAGAACAGGTCCAGAAACAAACCCATCCTACACAGAGCAACCTGATTTATCAAGCATTTGACACAGCAGTGCAGTGGGGAAAGGGTGGGTCTTTTCAATAAGCAGTGCTGTGTCAACAGGATACTCACATGGAAAGATATATGAGTCTTGGCCCCTATACCTCACACCATACACACAACCAATTCCACATGGATTACAGATCTAAATCTAAAGGTGAAACAGTAACAGTTTTAAGAAAAAATACAAAGGATACTTTCAGAACTTTGGAGTAAGCAAAGATTTCTTAAAACACAAAAAACACCAAAGAAAAGAGGAAATAATTGATATACTGGAATATACTTGATAACTGGAAAATATTAAGACCTTTTGTTCATCGAGATACCATTTAGAGAGTGAAAAGACCCCACAGAGTGGTAAAATATATATATATATATATCTATATATCTGTAAAATGTATCGAAAGGCTTACACTGCTAATATGTAAAGAATTCCTACAAATCAGTAAGAACAAGACTGACACCCAAAAGGAAAATGGGTAAACTCCTAAAACCGGCACATGACAAATGAGGTTATCTTAACAGTCAATAAATATGAAAAGATACCTCACACTTCATTAGTCACTAAGGAAGCCAGGGAAATGCAAATTAAAACTACTCCCACCAAAATAGCTAAAACAAAAAAGAACAAAGTATTACCAAGAATGTGGAGCAACTGAATTGTTAGTGACTGTGCAAACTTTAGGAGTATAACCACTGTAGGGGTAAAGAAAAGAAACTGGCAGTATCTGCTACACAAAGACCTATGCCTACCTCATGAGCATGTCTGAAGTATATAAACAACAGAAATGTCTACATAGGTTTGCCTTAGGGCATTTGAAAAAATATTGGTAGTAGTAATATTTCTAATAACCAAAAGTGGAGACTACTCAAATTCTATCAACACAGAATGAGTAAATTAATTGCAGTTACTCCTACTGTGGAATACTATACAACAATGAAAATGATTGCTGTCAAGCGTCATGCAAAAACATTAACCTCACAAATAATACTGAGAAAAGTAGTACATTATATGATTCCATCTATGCACAGCTCAAATACAGGCAAAACAAATCAATGGTACTATAAACAAAGGTTACCTTTCTGAGAGTTAAAGACATGATGGGGTCATGAGAGATATCAAAAAGCTAGTTATGTTATATTTGTCCAGAAGCTCATTACATGGGCATGTGTGTTCAGTTTATGAAAATTAATTAAGCTATACATTTATAATTGTGTATTATGTTGTATCTCAATAAAAATTTAGAGAAAAACCTTGGCAATAGCAGAGAGGAGCACAAGGAAAAGCAATTTTTTTTTTTTTTTTTTTAAAGATTTTATTTATTTATTTGAGAGAGAGAGAATGAGAGATAGAGAGCACAAGAGGGAAGAGGGTCAGAGGGAGAAGCAGACTCCCTGCTGAGCAGGGAGCCTGATGTAGGACTCGATCCCGGGACTCCAGGATCATGACCTGAGCCGAAGGCAGTCGCTTAACCAACTGAGCCACCCAGGCGCCCCAGGAAAAGCAAATTCTGAAGTACAAGATATTCAAACTCACAAATGTTCATCCTCAAGCTGCGATTATCTCTCCGGTCTTAAAATTTGCATCAGTATATTCATCCCATGCCATCCTTAGCCCTCACACCAAAAAAGCTAAGAAAATAAGCAATTAAGTTCTTTAATATTAAACTTGGTGCTTCTGAAAGTAGATTTTTGGATCTAACAATCCTCAAATAGGTCCTGAGACGAATATGAAACAAACATTTAGAGTCACTAAGCCTATGTTTAGTTTAGCAAAATACTCTGAGTTATCAGTAAGTCTTAAACATTATTGATGGGAGTACCAACTGTTATATCCTTTCTGAAGGGCCACTAATCATGATCTGTCAATTTTAAATGAACACAACCCAAGATTCAACAATCTCATTTGCATACATCTATCCTACCTAACACTCATTTTCACAATATGTATGACAAAGTTCAATTCAATGTTTATAATGGTAAAAACTAGAAACAATCTAAATAGCAGCAACAGAAAAATAGTTTAAAATGTTATGACACATTCATACCAGGGGATAAGGATAATTTGTAAAATTGTACTGGTTTAAAAGAAAACTAAGTCTCATAATAAAATCCTCTATTACTACATTATAAAGATGTGGATATAAACACACGTTAGGTGTGTCACAATAATCAGTTAATTACTTCTGTAAAGTAGGACTGGAAAAGGAAGACAGTTTAGGGAAGACTTAAATTATTCATACTTCTGTATCCTTTGTTTTTTTGGTTTTTTTTTTAGGATGAACAGGTACCTTTATTTTAAAATATTAAATAACTTGAGACCAGAGAATTTAACATTAACTGCATTTAAACGGGTGTCCCAACCACAACACATTCACTCCTGAAAAAAAATCCCCCTTCTGCAAAAGTATGCATTCAAAATAAGACTTATGGGAAAAATCGGACTGAGACAAACCGTTTAAACCTATACAACTTTGTAAAAACATCCCTAAGACAAAACAGTAACGTACTCAGGAAATACTCGGACAGTCGGGCAGGTGGCTCAGACTAGAGGCTACCTCAGGGAATGTTTAAAATGAATAAAAACAATGGAAGTGCCGTTTCAGGTAATATGACAACTGAGCCACGGGTCTGTGGGAGGAAGTTCCGTACTGACCATGAAGCCCTCTATGGAGCAAGTGCTCCTGTTAAACTGGAGTAACTCTCTCAAACGTGGAAGGGAGCTTGCCTGTATCACTGAGGGGTTTGCTTCTTCCTGCTAAAGGATGTATTTCTATTTCTGTTCCTCACTATCTAGGAAAAACAGAATACGAACCAACACAACTTCCACATCAGACTGACATCATCACTCTATTCACCAGGCATGTATGAGCTAATCAGTGTTAAAAAAAAAAATTTCTTATAGCTAAAATAACTGTACTAAGATAACTGTTCCCTTTTCAAACTTTAACCTTATCTAGATCCTGTTTTAGTTAGCCATCACAGGTTGTAACTTTAGTCAAAAATCAAAACAAGTCCTAGAATAAAGAAGCAGAAATAAATACAGCAGCATACTTTCACACTATAACCATTCAAATGAATTGATTAGTTATTTTAAGATGTTTGCCTGCTTAACATTAGTATTTAAGAATAAATTTAAATTTCCATTATTAGCTGAGCTCATGAGCAAGTCACCTGATTTCTCCATACAAAATGAGAAGGAACTAGATTCTCTAGCACCTTTCTCATATTTAAAATATTATGCCCCAGGGATCTGGGTGGCACAGTCAGTTAAGAGTCCAACTCTTGGGACGCCTGGGTGGCTCAGTCGTTAAGCGTCTGCCTTCGGCTCAGGTCATGATCCCAGGGTCCTGAGATCGAGCCCCACAATGGGCTCCCTGCTCAGTGGGAAGCCTGCTTCTCCCTCTCCCACTCCCCCTGCTTGTGTTCCCTCTCTCACTGTCTCTCTGTCTGTCAAATAAATAAATAAAATCTTTAAAAAAAAAAAAGGGTCCAACTCTTGATTTCAGCTCAGGTCCTGATCTCATGGTCATGCGATTGAGCCTCGAGCCCTGTGTTGGGCTCCATGCTCAGCGCAGAGTCTGCCTGAGTCTCTCTCCCTCTTCCTCTGCTCCTCTCCCCGCTCCTCAAATAAATAAATAAATCTTTGAAATATTATACCCCAAATATGCCTGAATTTCAGGATCACACTTTTTTCTCTTGTGCAACCCTTGATTCACAGCCCTTAAATAATATACAGTCACAGAGCCTCTGAACTTGTAAAAGTGATCACAGATCATCTAGTCCCAAGGTTTTAAAAAAGAAAAAAAGTTCTATCTCTGAACCTCTCTTTGACAGAAAGGTTACCTGTTAAATCTAATATGTAAAATGGATATGTAAGAAGGATTCTGACTTATGCTTTTTGAGAAAAACACAGCAGACAACTCTCCAGCTTTCTGCAATACATAAAGAATCAAACCCACAAAACTAAAACTTTAAAACTGACCTAACCTAACACAATTATTGGATAAGAACTGAAGACCAGAAAAGTTAAATGACTTGCCCAAGATCAGACACTCTAGTCAACGGCAGGGCCACAACAGAAGAGTTAACTCCTAATCCAATCCAATCCAATCCAAGCTTTCTTTGAAAGCACCAAGTTAGGTTCCTAAGTAAGATTTTTGTTTACAGTCATAATATAAATACATTTTACTTCACGGACTTGCCACTCTTCACTATTTGCTAAAGTATTTAGTGCTCTGCCTTGGGCAATAACATGTGTAAACACATTGCTGATAAATGGTAAGGAAAATGTATGTGCTTTCTGAAGAGATAT